CTCTCTCTCTCTTTCTATATATATATTCCACTAGCTTTAAACTTTTTATATATAATATATGACTTAATCCATTCTTGAGTCCTTTTAATTAACTAAAATAGCATGAATGCATAGAGACTCCAAGGTAATTAATATAAGTTAATCTCTCAAAAGGAACATTAAAAACACCTATATGTGCTTCCTTACAAAAAAAAAAATTTATAAAAAAACAAAAAAAAAAAAAAAAAAAAAAAAAATACTAAAATGCAATAGAGTTGCTTTGTGGTTGGCATCATGAGGTACGTGGCTAAGGCTTTGTCATTCTCACAAAAAAGCTTGTCTTCTCCTCTAGCTAAACTTGTCATATCAGAGTTCTCTTTTTATCCTTTTGGATGAATCAAATAATAACAGACTACTTGACAAATGATCAAATTCATTACTAATACTAAAATATAAAAATAAAATTGTCTAATTTGCTCAAGATTATTAATATCCGTAGTGGGACTTTGAGCCGTTTGCAAAATAATATTAGAATAATAAACTGCAATTCATTATATATATTCCTATTCATCAGACTATTTCGCCATTTTATTTTCTCCCAACATCTCATACTTAGTTTCTTCATTTGTTTGATTTTCATTTTTTGAGAAAAGAGCGATAGTATTATTGATATAGGGAATAAGTAATAGTACCCAGAAAATGGTCATGTCTTTAGGGATTAGGTGAGTTTCTCTATGCATACAGGCTTGGTCGTCGGACTAACTGAGTAGCCTTATCTGCTCAACCGCAAAGAGGGAGTAGGAACCTAACCACATATAGAGTACCCCTCTGGTCCCCCTAAGATCACACTTGTAAAAAAATTACATATTACAATCCTCAAATAAAAGATCACAAATAAAAAGTCAAGAGGTTCCTCAAACCAAGAAATGGTAGAACCAATTTGTAAAGCAAAACGAGCAATACGGTGAGCAACCTCATTTGCTTGGCGACGGATATGGGCAAAACATAGAACATGTTTCTTAAGTAATTATATTTTTGGAATATCTTTATATAATTCCTTGTGATAATGTCTTTATTTAAATAAATTTAATATTTCTAATCTAATTCAATTGAAAAAAAAAAAAAAAAAAAAAAAAAAAAAAAAAGAAGTGAAGATGAGAAGATGGCCAATAATAATGATGAAGCTCAGCCTGGTAACCTTAATGTTATATGCATTACTTTTCACTCCGCTTGCAGCTGGATCATTGATACAAACACAATTAATACTCTCTGTGGTAAGATTCGAAACTCTACATCACAAGCACTAATGGTACGTACTGTCCTTGTCTAATGCATTGCTTGTCCATTCCCTTTGTTTTACCATTTTATCTGTTAGTAAACTTCTTGACCCATTACTTCGTTTATCACTTTCTACCCTTCCTACTGTGTTTTTTTCAAGATCTCAAGACAAGAGGCAAAAGGAGAGGCGTTATATGACCTGACTTTACACAACACACTACTACACTATCCATAGTCCAGAGCGACACACCACCCACAAAAAAAAAAAAAAAAAAAAAAAAAAAAAAAAAAAAAAAAGAAAAGAAGAAAGTTATAGCATTGCCGTTGAGGACATCCGTCTTTCAGTTGTTTCAGATATTTGTTTCCTGCATTATTTACCCATGGTGCTACACCAAACTTCTATTGTGAGAATTGTGTGCTAGCTATTCGTTCAATTTGAGTAATCATAAAAGTTGGCTTGCCTTTTGATCTCGTTCATTGTGACTTTGGGAGCCTACTAAAGTTGCTACTAGTGGGAATAAGTGGTTTTTTTTCGTTTTTTTTTGTTTTTTTTTGGGATTGATAATTGTACACCTAGATGACTTGGGTTTATTTAATGGCTCAAAAGAGTGATGTTTTTGCCAGTGCTCGTGACACTACAGAAAAAAGTGACAACAGTTAGTCACCAAAAATGCCCCTTTTTGGTGACTATTGTAGTGTGACTTTCATTCTATGTTATCAAACCTAATTCCAGGCCAGATTAAAATTCTTCATTTTGACAATGGCAGAGAGTATGTCATTCATAGCTTGTCTCAAATTTTTTTTGGGAACAAGGAATAATGCATCAAACTTGTACACCTCTCACTCATCACCAACTACTTGATTTTGCTCACCTATTGCTTCTGGATACTACTTCTGTTCGTCAATATATGTAGGGCAAAGCTTTTGTTATCTACAGTTTACTTTGGTTAATCGGATCCTGAATTGTGTACTTGACTACCATACCCCTATTATATGGTTCTTGGCAAACATTTGATTTGCATGCTGTGTCAAATTAGCTCTTAATCTTTGGTTGTGTCGCCTTTGTTCATGGTCACTACCACTAACGAAATAAGCTTGACCTATGTGTTATCATTGCTTGAGCTAGATGACCAACTTATCATGCGTTAGCTCTTAAGCGTTCTGGAATTTGCATGCCAAAAGCTAGTCAACAAGACCATTAGTAAGAAAGTTATAATTGTACCTGCAGCAAGGCCCACACCGTGTCCAAGAAAATAGACCATTAAAAATTTCATGAAAATCCACGGAAGTCTATTCAAATTCATTAAAGTCTATGATAATAAAGATCTAACAAACTCCATTAAAATTCATATAGAATTTACGCCGAAGAATATGTGGAGTCAAATCTATGAAAATCTCAATTAAAATCTCAACCGACACACCTCCGAAAACATCCTACACAAAAGAAGAGTTAAATAGAGAAGATTTACTTACGAAAAAGGATGTGCAATAATTCCTGCATCCAGTCCAAGTTATGCAGTTGTCACGGTTGATTCTAAGCCTAGAATCTATTGTGTCAGAGTTGTTTGTTTTTTAGGGTAACGATTCGAACGAGTAAAACTACGAAGGCCCTACACTTGTTTGTTTTTATTCATGCTTTCTTCCTCATCATCCGCTGAATATACATAGCACTACTACCACACCGACCTCTGCTGCCGACAAAATTATTTTTTTCCCCATTTTGTCTCGAGACAAAAAAATTATTTTTGTCTAGAGTACGACTTTCAGGACATACTGGAAAAAGAAATAAACAATAATAATAATGAATATAGATGCATATTATTCATGGTGGTAACATGTCTGCATTAATTAATTTGATGCTTCTGTTATGTTAAGGCCTTAATCTCAGTTTAATTATGTGGTTAAATAAAATACTTTTTGGAGGGCAGGGGCCGGTGGTCAATGAAGGTGCTCTATATGAGATTTTAATTAAAGAAATTTCTATTTATTGCTAGACCAGACAATACAAGAGCTCAATGACTCTTTTTCACAACTTTCAAGTGGTTCGCGTTAGACATAATTTTTGAGAAACCAATATGGTCGCAGATTCTTTAGTAAATTTAGAACATACTCTTCATCCCAAGAGTGATCACTCTAACTGCATTTTTTGGCCATCACAAAATGTATGTAATCTAATTATCATCTAATTTCTATGAAGTCCAATGAGACTTATATATGTGCATTATAGTCTTGCTGTAACCAAAAACAAACAAGGGAAACTTGCAATTAAATGAGAAATTTTTATATGTTTCGAGTATAGTCCTTAAATAATGAGATACTCCAACAAGAAGATATACTAATTTATCACAAATATCTTGTTATGACACGAATCAGTTTACAATGCAAGCAATAATAATCAAATGACAACGCATGTACTACTTTTTCAACCCCCCACCATCAAAAAAAACAAAAACGACAGAAACGTTATAATTCGTTTGCAACAAGAAAGGAAAACCTAGAAACTAGGCACAAACCATACCAAATTCCCTATAATATATCTTTCGTACAATTTGTGTCAGCTTTTATAATCTCTTAGGTTTTCTCAATTTGTCACCGTCCCTTGCACTTTACGATTCAGTACATGTCACCGTTGGTAGCTAGCCACTTTGGCACATGGCATGCATGGTGTTGAGAGAGAGAGAGAGAGAGAGAGAGGTGCCATGAAATGAAAGGGTTAGGCCCACGCAGCACATGCATGGAGGCTCATCACTTTGTATCTTTCTTCCATTCAAATTGGAAATTAGTGAGCTTCAGACGATAAAGCACGGGGCCACCACCAGAGCACATTGAAAATTTACACATAAGAACATGGTGTACGTGTTTTTGAGGGGACAAATCTAACCAGATGACAAAGTTTACTATTTGGATCACTCGGTTGGAAGTATATATCTTTATATAATTGGGGTCACTAATCACTTTCGCACACGTCTTGGTTAGTAAGCGTGATTACTATCAGGCGTCCTGTCATATACTTACAATGATTAAGATTCAAGTGCCAGAAAGAAAAAGAATGATTAAGACTTAATTCTTTTTGTGTGGCTGTCTTGTTACTGATTTACTACGTTATAATACGTGTTTTGTTTATTAATATTATATCCTAAAATATAAGTTCGTCGTCCACTCATTTTATAAAAACGGGTGTTACTATTATTACACGGCCGAGATATAACATGATTAATTTTTTTCTTCTTCTATATGAAGTTCTTAGACTATAACCTTTTTTTATGAACGTTTCAATTATTTGCCCTATTATTTCAAAAGTTTTTCTTATCCGTCCACGTGATAATTTATTTTTTTATTGTTATGCAACCACAAATATATAAATGTTTCATTTCCTTGATTGACATACGTGTTCCATGGGCACTGTCAAGATGAATTTTTTCCTCACCTTTCAACGGATGATGCCATGTCATCACCCCAAGACATCCAACTACGAGAAATCAATAGGGAAAAATATCCGAGGTGTATGTATATCTCTCCTTTCTTAGAGTACTTTGTTACATGGCCACAAGGTCACATGATAAGTGTTATAGAAAGAAAAGATAATACACTCGGATGCATGTAAGATTTTCTCTTTTACAAACCTACTGCAAGCAAGAGCGAAGCTAGACAGAAAGCTATAGACTAGAGCAGACTTAAGCTCGAACATATATATATTTTTTGATAACAAAGGGGGCTAACGCCCAAACACAAAAAGAAAACACCTAAGCACTAAAGAAACGGGGCCTGGAAACACCACAGGCATCAGCAGCGAGAATATCCACAAGGAAGGGTGGCACCTTGTCAAAAATCTGCAGACCAGGATCAAACTCAAAACTCTTAGCAGCCAAGGCATTCGCAGCACAGTTCTGTTCACGAAAGATGTGCCTAACTGAGCAATTCCAGTCAGCTCTCATCTTTAATTTGCAACAATTAATGATGCTGAAGGGGGGAAGCTCGAACTTTTTTTCACTTCATACAAGTTTTAGTTTTGGACAAATTTTAACCCATCACGGTCAAGCCAGCTTTGGTCGTGATACCAGGTCACGGCATCCAACAGCGACCCAATAACAAGCATCCTCTATGTCCAATATTGAGTCCATTGCCTCTAATGAGGGGTTATTATAATTCCCTTAACTACAGGCTAGTACGCGTAGAGATAGGGCCTTGCTTTTTGTTTACTACTTTGGCATACCTCTTATCTATTGTGGTTGAATTCATAGAATTTACGAGCGATGCTAAAGAGAATAGCTCACTTGTATAACATCAACGGCTAACAGCCACCTACACATGTACGACTAATCAAATTAGGATCTTCGTCTCGATAGCTTCTTTTGTAGGAGATAGGAAGAGCTTTCTTGATCCCAGATAGATAAACCCAATCAGCCAGTAGAAGAATCATAGAAGTAGTAGACTAGTGAACTCGTTGGACATTTCTAGAGCTAGATCGTTTGAAGGTGAATCACTTTAAAAATGTATCTTGGCCTTGAGATAGTAGACACAAGACTACTTTTGTGATGAATTCATGACAACCTTTTTGCATATTTGGGGATCATCCATTGGGTGCAGAGAATCCTTACACTTGAGGATAGTTATTTCGTTTGGAAAATTATTAAAGTAGATTAAGGCCTCATAACTTTTGCTTTCAGTTGTCTAGTCCTTATCCTTGAACAAATTCACTTTTTCTGTGGCATTATGGTTGTCGAGGGTTCAACTATCACTTTGATTTGACGTTATTATAAAGGCAATTAGTTTCATTAACACAAAGTGGTATCTAAAAGAACCGATAGGGTTTTCTGAAAAAATTTCAACTACATAGTCAAATGAATGCAAAACTAATTGAAACTCCTTTTATTTGTACTGGAAGATGGCGGATTTGGGTGTGAATTCAAAATAGGGGCGAGAGTGTTAGGATTCGAGATTTCACATTGGAAAAATATCATATCTTTACATGCTCTTGGGCGTCATTTGCTTACAAGTCTCTTGGGCTCCATTTCCTTACAATTCAGTTACCCATGAGTTCTTCACAACGGGAAGAGTGAATGGAGTTGTGAACCAACAGGCAAGTAGCTCAGACTTCCAATTGCAGGGATGCGATACGTACCACAGCCCAACCATAACTTGAAGTCCCATTCTCTTAAAGGTCTAAAGTTGCCTTGACGCCCAAATCTATAATACAACAAGAGTCCACACAGAGGGAATCTTAAAATTTCTTCAATACAATGGGTCAATACTGGTCATCACAGAATTTAATTGGAAAAAGAATAACACAATAACGTATTTCTGAAAAATTATTTAAGAAGATGGCATAAACCCGAACCCCATACATGAAACCGACATGATCTTCTGCATCTGGACAATATCTCAGCATGATGAACACCTCTAGTCCTGAGAATATCAAGGGCAGCGCTAAAGAGGCTAACAGGATGATAAACAAGGGGGTAAAATATGATTATGCTTTCTTTTATAATTTAATCCTGATGTTACAAGAGAAATTCATTACAATGTACAGCTTGTGGGTTCTCCCTCTGAACTTCGTTACAATGATACAGCTTGCAGTTCCTCACTCTGATTGTCAGGTGTAACTTTCTCAGCATCAGGGAGGCTCTTTAACACCTAAGATGAGAGAATATCATTAGTCATCCTTATGGTGACAGCCTCTAATTAATCACAGATAAAGAAGATTTTAAGTTTTGATAATTAACTAACCTCATAAAGATGCCATGATGTGAATGCATCAATAGCAGCATACTCCAGCTGCTCCTTTGATAAAAACTTGGCCTCCCAGTTTCCCAATCTAATTTTGTTGGGCTTCAAAAGCTGCAATGTTTTGAAACATTAACAGGAATTCCTACCTAAACTTATGAACCAAGCTACAAAAACCACTAATTAGGTTACTGGTCAAATTCCAGTGGACCGCTGGAGCAACGAATACAATTACATTGTAATCCAGCACAATTCAGGCTAATAGACAGATCCAGTAACAGACAATAGTTTAGGCAGAGCAGACACTACTGGGATTCCTTCTCTTTAGTAGTTTTGCTGAGATTTCCAAGAACCAGTAGTAAATAGAAGCAACAAAGAATAGTGGAAGGCAGAGAAAAACAAAAAGATTACCTGTTTGCATATAAGCTTCTCAGTAAGAGATGCAAGACCCCAGTTCTGCAGACCTCCACCAAGCTTTCGTTTAGCTAGATATTTAAGATCTTCAACAGCTTTAGTAGAGACATTATAATCTTTAAAAACCTTAACAGAATCACCGGCAATGCCAAGTCCAACCTGTGCCATGGATCACATATTATATTAGAATAATGTATTGTAAGATCCAGAAAGAAACATTTCGTGTATCTGGGTGGCAGATGTAGTAAGTCTGTACAATATATGTTATCGACCTTCAAAATTGATGCATCTTCGAGAAGTAACTGCAGACTTTGAGGAATCCCCGAATGAACAATATGCATTACGTGACAACAACTTGTGTCTACACATATCTGCATAACCGCAGCCTTCCTAGGTGGAACACCTGCATTTTAGGCTTTCCCAATTATGAAATCCAGCAAGTCTAAGTTGATGTATTTATTCATAAAACAAAACTGAACCCCACTCCAAGAATAATGAATAACAACCTCATGTTTAATCGGATAAATCCATCATAGAAATGATTCATAAGCCATTTGGCCAAAAAAGTCAACGGGGAACATTTATGACATACATTTGCCAGAAACATGTTGAAAAGCATATGGAAAAGACAGAGCAATAAATGACGAATAAACAACAGAGCATATAAAAGAATGAAACATCAACAGCCAAAACACTATAAATATTTTAGTATTCCCTAAGAAAGCCGAGATTTTCAAATGCATAAAATACAAAAAAGGTTCTGGAATCCCCCTCTGCCTTCCGGATAAATTATCGTCATGATTTATCAAAGACCGAAGTTATAACCCAAATGGCCCCTCCTTACGCCTTCCAGTCAAAAGACAAAACAAAATAAATCAAAGGTACTTGAATCCCCATCTGCTTTTAAAGTCATATTGAAATATCTATTATTTCACTGTTTCACAAGGGGGGAAGTTGCAATCAAGGCCAAAATGTAACTGAACCAATAAAAAACTTGGCTCTATCTTGTTGCTGGCCCTAACTAATTTTGCACACCAGTTCCCTCTATCCTTATCGAATATTTGGACATTAGTCTTCCAATATACAGCTATTTTCAAACAAGAAAAGCCTTCATCCCATTCTAAATCTAGAGATAGAAAGAGAGAATAGTTTTCTTAGGGACAAGAGGAAACAGTTCTTTAGCACCATATTAAAGCTGATTGTTTTAAGTTATCAGTCTTTACATTTTTTTTAGCACAATAATAATAATGATAAAGTTATCTTAAAAAATGAAAAAATAAGCTGGAGATCTCCTCTTGGTGGGAACCAGTCTCTTCCTTCTTGGCCTATAGCTGTAGAAGTCTAAACAATAGGAAAGTAGGAAGGATGGAGAAGGTGGAGAGTTGGTTTCCGAAAATGACCACCTTGAAAGAAGAGGAGGAGGAAGTGTGGGTAGAGAGTCAGAGAGAATGCATCAAGTTAGAGAGAACTAGACAAATCTAACACCAACCTCTTTGGAATGTGGGTCTCCACTCAATGTCAAATCCAACTGCAGTTTGGCCCGTTTCTTTTTCCTTTGCTTCAATAATCTTTAGAACCTCCATGGCAGCTTTCTCTACTTGAACTGCAGTCCTGCTATATGTAATCTGACCTCCAAACTTCATCACAGGATATCTCATCCTTATATTGGCTGCTTTAGGAAATAAATAATGTAGTACAACATTATGTATCTTAAGAAAAATTAAATTAAACAACTTCTGTATAAAAAGGCTGCAGAGAAAATATATTTAAATGCTTATGAACAGTCCAAAACATATGCAAGCAAATAAAAACCATTAAAAATTAGCAAAACCTTCAATGGTCATTAATATCATTCCTCCTAACTACATTTGAGAAGACAAATATTATGCTAAAACCTTAACCTAACTGCACTGAACATGTGTCAAAGTGTTAAAAAGCCCTTGCTCGAGTATCAAGCTAAAATAATTTTGATAGATATGATTTGTCTGATGGTCTGATCTTATCCCTTCTGAGGTTATAGGAATTTTTAAAAGGAAGAACCTACAAACCGCATCAGGGGATTCTTAAAAAAAAACCTTAAAATTTATCTCATTATTAACTTAACCACCATAAATGTCATTTACCCCTAAAAACCCCACCTAAACTTCCCCTTAAATCAAAATTCAGCTTCTCTTGAAATATAGGAACTCCATAAAACAGTCAAGTTACATGATGGGCAAAAGATTAATCCATGCGCGGTAAAATCTTGGATATCCAAGAGGATCAAATCTATCAAAAGCTTCCTGTCATCAACTCTTACAGCAAAGGATTTCTACACAGATTCTGTGATTGTTATTATAGATCATCTTGCAAGTATAGCAAGAGAAAATCAATAGCCCAAGTTTCAGTTGTCCTATCGGAGTGGCTATTAATGTCATCTATGAGAACTCATGCAGTTTTAGAGCTGGTAAGGAGGGCATCTGTTAACACTGATTTGGAGACTCTATAATCTTTCTGACTGACATCATAAATTCTCAATTCTTTTAGTAGCTAGTTTTATGGGGCAAAGTATTAGACACACATAAGAGCAACACAACCATGTAGCGGGAATGAAAATATTAATATGGATGGTAGGAGTGACTTGAAAAGACAATTAAAAATCAATACAATAGAAAAACACTGGGAGTGAACCCAGTTAGTGATAAGTTAACAGAAGGTAGGTTAATGTGATAGGAACATGTACAACATAGACCACCAAATGTACCTATAACCGAAGGAAGACTAGTTAAAGTAAAGATCTAAAAGATAATTTAATACAATATACTGCACATATTCAAAAGAAAATGGAAGATGATAACCCATGTGGCAAGCCATATGATGGATAAGATAAATAAGGGCATGTACGATGATGAGGCTTAGCTATCAACATCCCTAAGGAAAGGACAATCACTCATTATGTGAGACACCTGGCAAGGCTTGAGGCATGCATGGTTCTCCCAATACGATTGGCCTTTTTTTTTCTTTCTGCCTGCAATGTAGCGAAATCAAATAGATCTCTAGATAATGACCCACTGTCAATCACTCTTGATCTTCACCTCTTAAGTTCCCAGATTTGCTTCTCACTTGGTAGTTGGAATCTAGATCGCTATTTTCTGTTCACAAATACTTACTGTCCCCCACAGTACATTTCTACTATCTGTGCTATGTCCACAAAATCAAAATAAGAAGTCAACTTCAGAGTTGAGACTTTTATAATGATGCTTCATCTTAGACTCCGTGCAAATTTTATACAGAGCTCACAGGCCACAAGTAAGGAGTAAAATGCACTCATCAAACCTAGATTTATATTTATGCATTTCGTAGCTCCTCTATACCAACTGTACCAACTTCATGAACTCCAATTCCTTGTGGTCCCACACTCCCCTTGTGAAGTATTTCCGATGAAACCTTTCCTTGAGGCTTATCATTATCATATGTACTCACAAAAACTGCCTGGTGTCCCATCCAGCCTAAAATACTGTTGCACTAGATTAGCTAGACTCTGTATGACCTTATAAAGCCTTTCAAGAACTTCAGGTGTTGCGCCATAACACGAAAACCTAAAGTCATTATGCTACTTCCCTTCCCTACATGAAAAATCACGTAATGCTCTCCTAAACTGCAATCTCAAAATCCAACATTAGGCTCTCAATATAATCTTAACAAAATTCAAGAGCACATTTTCTACTGATTTACGACAATTGACAGGTGCCCTCATACAACACTTGTCAAGAGCATGTTTAAACAAATTAAAACCCCTACATTATCTAGCGTTTCAATCAAAATTCAAAATTGAAAAATTGAAAAAGCTATGAACTATTGAATACTAAAATTTACAATGAACGAACAGAGGCAACAGACCTTGACGACAAGGGGAGAGAGAGAATGCGTTTGGATGCTGGAGAGCGAGAACTGAACTGGGCAGGCGGCGGCGGTCAATCTTGGAGTGGTGTTGTTGGGTTTCGTCGTCGTCCTCTGGGCTGGACCGTCGCTTTTTGGGGAGAGAGAAAGAAGTGGCAGCTTCGAATGCGGCTTCAATGGCTTGGAGGTCTTCTTCTGTGAAGGGCTCGTCGTCCAACTCCGATTCCGATAAGATGGTCTTCTTGCTTTTGCTTTTGTTTTCCAGGGATTGCGACTTCTCCTCCATTTACTCCCTTACAACAACATTCCCCGCATTTGTCTGTAATTTTGAGAGAACCTCCATTCCATTACAGCATTCCACTATCTAGGAGAAAAGTGAGAAGGAGGGTACAGAAGAAAGGCCAAGGTACTTTTCAGTCACTTTTACCGTTGTATTTCCATGATGGTAGCAATTTAAGAGCTTGTCTGGGCTAGGTCCAGATCTGGCCTCAAATGAAAAAACAAACTTTCTAATGCATGTGTTTGGCCCAGTTAGTTTGGCCTAAGGCAAAATGAGGGGTTGATTTTGCCCAACTGTTGGCTTGGGCAAGAGTGGGCCCCACGGTCAGTTTTTGAAAGAGAAAAACAGTCTCAGTTTTTGCTGACTTTTCCAATTGCAATGACCATCGAGGAGCTGCCACGTGGCGCCCTCAATGGCAATGGCCTAACTGCTATAGTTGTTGGACTTTTTTGTTTTTGTAAATATTATGAGGTGTCTCCACACTTGAAGGATGAGATTAATCTCCGCTCCGGATTCGGCTTGCCTCTGACTACAAAGTTCTTACAACAGGTTTCAAACCCCTGTTTTTGTGTTTTTTCAAGTTACCAATTAGCTAACTTTTTTTTCTTTTGTTCATCACCTTCTCACCTAAAAAATCTTTCAATTACTCCAAACATTTCTACTTGTTTGTCCTTTTTCATTTTGCTCAAATTTGTTGTTCCAAAGTATGGCTCAAAAATACATTTTTGTGTTGCTTTTCTTATGCTTTGATTTTTATCATAAATAAAATAATAATAAACTACAATAATAAGTTTTGATTTTTAGCCCCTAACCCCTCACCACCACTAGAACCACAAAAAATTTGAGAGGCTAGATTTTGTGAATAGTACTATTTTGAGGGGCTAACACAGCACCTAGCCCCTTGCCCCTTGCCCTTTGCCCTTGTATTAGACATGCTCTAAGGACAACTAAAGAATTCTGTCAATTTTATTCACATCTTCACGGATATTTATGTACAATTCTACCATTTTATTCAAGCTAAAAATCTTCATTTCATGTTAGGGCCCTTGACAAATTTCCCCAAATCTCACAATAGAAACCCGACTTTTGGAAGAACCCTAAACCCAAATTCTCATATTCGCACCCTAACATGAAATGAAGAGTTTTAGCTTGAATAAAATGGTTGAAATGGTGGAATTGGACATAAATACCCCTGAATGTGTTTAAAAAATTAACGAAAAATCTTTAATTGTCCTTAAATTGCTACAATCATGAAACTATAACCCTTCGTTTGGATGAAGAAATTGAAAATTACATAGATTTCTAAAATGACGGAATTTAGATTTCCATAATTTAAATTTCCAGCAATTGAAGATTTCAGTGTTTGGAATTATGTATGTAGAATTTTGTAAATGACATTATGAAAATTGTGAAATGACGCATATTTTGGTGGAAATTAAACTTGGGAATTTGATGTCCAAATTTCCACGATTTTTTCCGCCCATCTTTTAATAAATTCCGCCCTTAAGTTGCCAAACAAGGGAATTGTCAATTTCTCCTCTTAAATTCCCAACTTTCAACTAAATTTCTAGTTATTTTCCCTCATCCAAACGAAGGGTAATGCAAAAGTGACCGAATTGAAACTACGCGGACTAAAAGTGAAAAAGAGGCAAACTACAGGGACCAAAAGTGACTTTTGACCTAGGAAAAAAAATTAGGAAAGTTTTAAAATATGGATGAGCAAATATGAAAACTTTACTAGAATAGAAACGCGTTACTTCCTCTCTCGTCTTTCTTTTCTTGCATTCTCTATTCATTTTATGTAACATGTATTTGACTTGCATATAGATTTATTCTTGTTACATTTAAAATTTTAGTACTCATTACAAGTAAAATATTAGTATTTTACATTAAATACATAACTTTATGTGTGAGTAAAATACACATAAAATAAATGAACAATACAAAAGGAAAAGGCCACACAAAAAAAGGTACCTAGCATTCCTCAAATTTTATTTCTCTCGAAGTTCAAAACTTTTGAAAAAGACCGAGTTCACTTTTCAAAGAACCTTATTGAGTGGCACTAAAAACACATCGAAATTACAATTCACGTCAATACTTTTAAAAAATTATAAACACATAACTAATTATATGTTTTAATAGTTTATATGGTATAGACAATGATTCTCATTTCAGTAATGGCATGTTTACCAATCCATAATCGGATTAGGAGGAATTGAATTAAGGAGGAGTTGGATTGATGATAGATTGCGGATGCTATTGAATTTGTTTACTAAACCATATTGAATTCGGGTAGGAGTTGTACTAATTCCTTATAAGTTGCTTACTAAATTCACACGAATTGGAATTGAAACCAAATTGAATACTAAATGCCCTCGTTTTTGGGTTAAAGTAAATGGAAAATTTGGAAAATTTAAAATTTTGTGAGGATATAATGGGTAAAAAAGATGAATTCCTAATACGTTAATTCTTTAGAACTTAGAATACCATCTCCCACCCAAGAGTCCAATTCCTCCAAAATCAAGAGTTGAATTCCCGATTTTATGTGGATCCCACTCACATTTTGATTCCTCCATGTGAAGTAAACACATGAGTATTCGTAATAGGAATTTGACTCCTTATTTTGATTATGATTAATCAGTTTTGATGATTTGGCGACATGATTGGATTGGAAGATTTGTTCGAGTATATATTTGTAATTGAAAAATTTTCTAAACATTTTAAGTCATTTGATGGAGTTATGTTTAATATATTATAGAATCAAAACAATTTTCTCTAGTATTTCATTTATAATTTACATTTACGTTTGTTAATATGTTTGATTAGATAAAACCTAACGATAAATGCTTTATATTTCATTATTGTCTTTTTTTTCATTATCAAAACCAATCATCCAATCCAATATCAATTGGATCATACTGAATTAAATTTAAACCTCTAATCCAATCAGATTGGATTGGAAAAATCATAATCCAATCTATATTGGATTAGATGTGGATTGGCTAAATTATATTGATTTCGACCTACTGGGCAAAAGACGAGCCCCTTAATGCCAACCTCATCATGTGTCTCCTCATCCAAAAGGTCAAGCAACTTGAAGAAGAAATATCTAAATCCTAACTAGGGGTGGCAATTTCCAATACGACCCGTTACACGACTCGAAACCCGCACTGAAAAAAACATGACTCGAACTCGCACGATTAATATTTGGGTAATTTTCGAGTCAACCTGTTATGACCTGTTTATTAAACAGGTGAGTTTCGGGTCAACTTGCCAACTCGTTAAAATACATGTTTAACCTGTTTATTAAACAAGTCGTGTCAACCCGTGTAATACATGTCATCTCGCGAAAATGAAGAGAAAATGAGGCTTCAGCACACACACAAGGGGTTTCGAACCATTGCCACCTTCATTTCTCTCCAACACCTTATCCATCATGCTATAGACAACTTTGCAATTATATACTACACCTTTAGATATTTATAATGTTTCTTTTTCTTCTATCTCTTTTGATTTTCTTTCTTTTTCGTCTCTCTCTCTCTCTCTCTTTTCTTTCTTTTCCTTCTCTCTTATCTCCTCTTTTTTTCCTTCTCTTTTCTCTCCTCTCTCTATTTTTTTTCTTTGTTTTCCTTCTCTCTTCTCTACTCTCTCTCTCTCTCTCTCTCTCTCTCTTCCTTACATTTTCTCTCCTCTCTCTGTTTTTTAATTTAAATTTTTTCAGTTGTGAGTTTTGTAACCTGCATATTATTATTTATGAAATTTAATCGCGGGTCATCCAAGTTTATGGTTCTTTTCTTTGTACATATTGATGTTGCTTTATTAGTTGTTACCACTTTTTATTAAACAGGTTATTAACTAGGTAACTTGTTTAATAACATGTTTAAGACGACTCGAACCTGACATGACACGTTTATTAAATGGGTCAGGTTTGGGTTGAGCATTCTTGACACGTTTATTATCCCGACACGACACGAACTAAACACGACACGACCCATTGCCAGCCCTAATCCTAACTACTAGTCTAGAGCAAGCAGCGACCAGACTAATTCACTGAGCAAATCAAAACCTTCAAGTAGGAGAAAGATGTTCAAGTCCCCAGAGTGTTGTTCTACACAGAGGTTGAAGACGTTCCAACTCATGGGCGTACCTTCTAATGGGCATTCGATTGTAAGGGACTCAGTGATGAAGGCCACTGCCTTTTATTCCCTTCATCCTCATTGGTGCAACCCTTAACTAGTTTTATCGATTGGAACTAGGCACAATTGACTCATTCGACTAGCTGAAGTAAATCTTCCTCAATCACTTCATGATTCAAACTAATTGTCTTTACTATGCCGATGATCTTTACAGGATAAGATAAGGGGATGGCAAACCATTGAGAATACACTGCCCAATTCAGTCATGAATATCCATGTGTCTAGAAACTTATGACTAAGCGGTCTTTGGTACATTCAAGAGTGGCCTTCGGGAATCCAACTTTCATTACCTGATACACAACAACAATTAGACCACTTATGACATGAAGTAGGTTGCCATTCATGGTAAGTCGAAGTATTTTAAAAACCTTCATCGTTAAATTGTTTGATCCATCAGGTTCCCACGGCAGACAATATTGATGTCGAAGCCTTAGCCCGTTTAGCCTCAGCATTATCCTTGGCTTTGAATGAAGTATCTTTGCCATCTCAATTTTAAGTTTTAAGATTGCCTCTACATTCACGCATTTTGCAAGATGGAGTTTTCAACAATGTTGTTGACAACATATGTCCCATGCCCAAGCTTCTAACTGCACCCAACCAAAAACAAATGCCTGGCAGGCCATTCAACAAGTTTAACAAGTTGTCGGCCAAAGAGCCCAGCAACAAGAAAGATGAGAAATATGTCATTCCTTATATAGTTTACAATACAACGAAGAAACTGAGAAACGTGTATTCTCCCTAGAAAAATTTTGTCCGTGCCCACCTCGACGTGAAGAATATTGATGCAACTTGAGCTTGCGACTCAACCCA